GGAGACGGAAAAATAAACTTCGAAGAGTTTTGCGGACTTATGCGGAAAGTGCCTTCGCTGGCGCTGGTCACCGAGCACACTGTCTCCATGATGCGCAAGACCTGCAGCAGAACCAACGTCTCCGACATGGCCTGCATCAACTAGGCCTGCTGCTGCTGCTGCTGCTGCTGCGGCTGCGGCTGCGGCGGGGGGGCGGGGGGGTGGGTGCGGTTTTGGGGCTGCAGCTGCAGCTGCTGGGCGGGCAGCTGCAGCTTTTGTTGGGGCAGCGGCAGCTGTTGCTGCTGCAGCGGAAGCTACAGCTGCAGGTGGGGAAGCAGCAGCAGCAGCTGCTGCGGCTGCAGCTTTGGGTGCTGCCGCTGCAGCTTTTGGTGTTGTTAGTTATTGTTGTTGCAGCTGCAGTGGGTGGTTTTGCTGCTGCTGCTGCAGCGCGTGGTTTTGCTGCTGCAGCTGCTGCTGCTGCTGGGGGAGAAACTGTGCACAGAAGCAGCAGCAGGGAGGGCGCGGGGGCGCAGCAGCAAGTGGAGGCGCGGAGCTTTTGTGGGCCCGTGGCGTGCCCTGAATCAACTACATGGGGCAGCAGCAGCAGCAGCAGCTACTGCTGCTGCTGCAGCAGCTGGTGCTGGTCTGCAGCAACTGCTGCTGCTGCAGCTGAGGAGGCAGCGAGGCCCAGGGACTTCGGGCCCGGCCGGCTGCTGCTTCCAAATGAGCTGCAGCAGCTTGAAGTGCTTCTAAAATGAATGTTCTTGTGAAATAATATTAATAAAAAACCCAAAATAAAAGAAATGTATAAATGTGTCGCTGCGGACTCCGCCGCAGCAGTGCAACCGAGCTGCGCATACACCCGAACGCGAGCACCCGCAGCCGCCGACAGTCTCGGCGGCTTTCGAATATTTGAGTTGCAGGAGAAAATAAGTGGAAATAGAAGAAAATAATGAATCAAAATGGACTAAATTGAGTTAAAATGAACTAAAATGAATTAAAGTGAATTAAAATGAATCAAAATGAATCCAAACAGTCCTCTTCGCAGCCAGTGCGCAGCCAACTGCTATTTAGGCCGCCGCATTGCAGCCAATTTGCTCTTGTGTTCATTTCGGCAATTCGGCGAGATTTTTTCTGTTTTTATTTTCTACAGCAGCAAAACAAACACTGCCCCCTTCAGGGGCCTAGTTCTTTCTTCTTCTGCTGCTGCTGCTGCTGCTGCTGCCGCAGTGCTGCTGCTGCTCCTGCTGAAGTGCTGCTGCTGCTGAAGTGCTGCTGCTGCGGTGCGGCTGCTGCTGATGCAGTGCTGCTGCTGCTGGTGTTCCTATTACTGCTGCTGCTTTTGCTGCTGCTGTTGCTGATGCTCTGTCTGCAGCACTAGCGGGTTGCACCTTAGCAGCAGCTTATATACCCCCTTTTAGGGTTTAGGGTCTAGGGAAGGGTTTGGCGCGGAAGCAAGCTCTGCAGAATTCGCATTTTGCATTCAGCTTGGTCGGCTAGATGTTATTTTACATTTTATTGAGCAGATAACTTAAATATATAAATAAAGAGATAATAGTTAAGTACATTTATTTATTTATTTATTTATTCTGAGTCCAGATGCTTTTAATGGAGCTCCGCTAGCTGTGGCCTTTTTGGGCTAATTGAAAAGTGGCGAAAGTATTTTTGAAAGGAAAGAAGTGGAGGCATTTGGGTGTCTGCGGAGCACTGGGGTGTACGTACACCGGAGTGTCTGCAGTGCTGGGGTGTACGTACACCGGAGTGTCTGCAGGGCTGGGGTGTACGTACACCCGAGCGCTGCGGTTCGCAAAGACTTTGTTTTATTGGCTGAAGGAGTTCTGGACAGAATGCATGTCGTATTTGTAGTGAGTCTTTTGGGCCTCGAGTTTGTCGATTTTTGCAATGGCTTCCTGCAGAGACACCGCGTTTGGGGTGTACGTACACCTCAGCTCCACACCAACGCACCTCCAACTGCTCTTCAGGACTTTCCACTTTCATTTCTAAAGGCTCATTTGCCTTTGCAGTTTCCGCCCCGTTCAGCGCAGCTTGTTCTTCCTGAATTGCATGCAAGTCAAAGGAAGCACTTCATCGCAAACTTCATTATTTCTTCAATTTATTAATTTAATTAATCCAATTAATTCAATCAATTCAATTAGTTCAATTAATTCAGTTATTCAATTATTCAATTATTCAATTTAAATGAAAACATTGGAGAAAAATCGAAAACGAATTGGCAACGAATTGGAAAATTGGGAAGGCAATTCAAATGAAGTATTCAGCAGAAGATGAATTAATCAACAGTGGGGAATTAATTAATTTGAAATGAATTAATTAATTTGAAATGAATTAATTAATTTAAAATGAATTAATTAATTTAGAATGAATTAATTAATTTAAAATGAATTAATTAATTTAAATGGAATTCATTTTAAAATAATTAATTTGTTTTAAATCAATTAATTTGTTTTAAATTTATTAATTCATTTTAAGCCAATGAATTCGTTTAAAAGGAATTAATTAATTGAAAATGAATTAATTAATTTGAAATGGATTAATTCATCTTCGATCAGTTAATTCATTTTCAATTAATTAATTCATTTAAATGAAGTAATTGGTTAAAAATGAATTGATTTACAAGGGCTTAATTAATTTAAAATGAATTAACTAATTTAAAATGAAGTAAATAAAGGTAAATTAATTTTTTATAAATAAATTTCACAATTTAAAAAATTCAAATTTTCGTTGAAGTCCTTCACTCACCATCACTTGAGTCATCGCCTCCTCCACGTCTGAAAGATATTCAAATTAATTCAAAATGTTTCAAATTCAAATTAATTTAAATCAATTCAATTCAAATTAATTTTAATTCGAATTAATTTATATTAATTTGAATCAATTCAAGTTAATTCAAATTAATTCAAATCAATTCAAATCAATTCAAATCAATTCAAATCAATTCAAATTAATTCAAAATTAATTCGAATTATTTCAAATTGATCTGAATTAATTTGAATTAATTTGAATTAATTAAAAGAAAGCAATTAAATGAGAAAACGCAAACCTGCGACGGAGTCCGGCTTCACGACCATCACGGGAATGGGCACTGAAGTAATTTAAAAAGAATTAAATAAAAACAAAAATAAAAATAAATTTAATTTAATTTAAATACTCATTTCCGGCTCCTGCATTCCCTGCAAAATCCCTGAAAGTCCAGCAGCCGCTGCATGCGCAGCAGCAGCTACTGGATTTGCTGCTGCAGCAAATCAAATCAAATCAAACCAAAAGCCCTTTTTCGACTAAGTCCAAAAGTCTTACCTGGGGGCCCCTGGGGCCCCTGGGGCCCCTGGGGCCCCTGGGGCCCCGGGGCCCCCGGGGGCCCCGGGGGCCCCGGGAACTGAATTTCGACGGAGGCCCCGGGTCCCGCGTTTTGGCGAGCTGTTTGCATGCAAAAGGGGGGAAGGAATTCCATTAAATGCAACAAATGCTGCTGCATGCAAAAGGAAAAGTCTCACTTTGCTGAAAGGCTTGTTTTCCTGCAGAAACTTCATTCAAAATCCCCGAAAGCTCCTGCTGCAGGGCCCCCAGTTTGCTTTGCTGGTCCGCCACCATGGCCTTGAGCTGGTCGATTGAGGGGTCAATTTGCGCGCTGAAAGGGAAAACTCCGTCGAATTAATAAACAAAAAAGTAATTAAAAAGTAATTGAAAACGAAAAGCAAAAGGAAATTAGTTTTCGCCGCAAGATTTACCTGCTTCGCGTCTCAGAGTGCATCAACAAACGAGTGGCGCTGGTGCGTGCAGAAACGCAAATTTCAAGAATTGCAAAAAAGTGAAAAAGTGCTTTCATCTTGCACTTTGCAAATTCCCCAATTCAAAGCTTTCCCCAATTCAGATTTCTTCGAACTCCATGAGCCCTAAGCCACAGAAAAACTCAGAAATCTGCAGTTCTGAATTGAGGTGAAATTCAAGTTTCTGCAGTTGCTGCGTCTCTCTGCGCGCTGGAAGCTGCAAAAGGAGAAGAAAAGAGAATAAAATAGGTTTAAATACTTCACGCGTTCTTTTTAGTTTATAAATACTACAAAACTTGCAAGAAAAATTGTTCTTTCGACGGCGCCTGCAGATTTAGCTTTCTTCAGGAGCTGCGTATACACCTGAAAACGAAAGCTGCAATCCACAGGCGATCTTCATGCATTCCAAAACTTGAATTTTCTTTTTTCTATCAGCATCTTTTTTAAAATCTTCGCGGAATATTATTTTTCAATTCGTCCTTCAGTTCACTGCAACAGTGCAGCAAAACAGGGAAAACTGGCAGTGAGTTTGGGCCCCAAGCTCGGGTGGTTTTGCCTCGAGTTTGCCTCCTTCTGTGATCGGCAAATTCTCTTCTCGTTTAATTCACTTTAATTCAAAAAAGAATTGTGATTTGATCCTCTTGCTTGACATCTCAGGAAAAAGACAGAACAAAGAGAATACTCAAGGCTAAATTGCATTTTTTTGCATTTCCCTAAATTCGGCGGAGTTCGAAGACGGGCTAAAGCGCGATTCTCTTATAATCGGCTTCAGGACTATTTCTCTCCCTTTTGCTGTCTTTCTTCCTTTATTTGAATACATATTTGTTTTTTTTCGTTTCTTCTTCATTTGTCTCTGGCCAGCTGCGCTTCTGCTGCTGCTGCTGCTGCTGCTGCCAATGAGCAGCATTTCAAGCCGCAGCAGCAAAAAAGAAATTCAACAAAAGGCGGAAAGCAAAGAGTTGGAGTGAGTTGGAGTGTACGTACACCTGAGGCATAGCGACGCGGGTGTCGCTGTGCTTTGAGCAGTTAAAAAGGCATTTATAAAAGAAATGAAATTCAAAATAAAATAAAACAAAAGAAATAAAACACATCCTTCCTTTGTCCGTCTATTTGGCCTTCGTCAGGATCTTCAAAGCCTGGCAGCAAAGCAGCGGCAGCAGCAAACCCTAAACCCTAAACATCTAAACCCTAAACCCTAGAACGACTAGCTGTAAACCCTAGACCCACAGCCTCGCCCTAAACCCTCACAAATGTTGCTGCCTCTCGAGAAAAAGGAGAAGTTTCGTCGATGCCCTTGAAAGTCAGAAGAACCGGCACCCCTGCAGCAAAGCCTCGCAGCCACGCAGCCCATGCAGCAGCAGCAGCAGCAGCAGCAGCAGCAGCACGCACCGTTTTTCTTAAGAACAGCCACGCAGCCCATGCAACAGCAGCAGCAACAACAACAGCAGCCGCACGCACTGTTTTCCTTAATAACAGCCACGTAGCCACATACAGCAGCAGCAGCAACAGCAGCAGCAGCAACAACAGCAGCAACAGCAGCACGCACCGTTTTCCTTAAGAACAGCTTCTTTTGTGGCAGGAGAGGCAGCAGCAAGATTTGCTAAGGCTCGCAGCAGCGGCGCTGTATGTACACTCCAGCGCAGTAGCAGCCAAACCTCCTCGTCTCCAGGCTGGGGCTCGGGGGCCCCCTCAGGCAGTTGCTGCTGCTGCTGCTGCTGCTGCTCTTCTTGCTGTTCCTGCTGCCTCTTCTTCGCCGCCATCACTGCAAGCACTTGCTGCTGCTGGTAGAGACGCAGCAGCTGCAGCAGCGTCAGCCCCAGCAGCTTCTGCTGCTCCTTAAACTCTGCGTCTGACTCTGGGGCCTCCGTCCCCCTTGCTGCTGCTGCTGTTGCTGCTGCTGCTGCTGCTGCGCACTGCTGCACTGCCTCTGCCACGTGGGATGTGAGGAAGCACAAACGCTTCACAGCCTCATTTACTGTCAGCCATTTTGGCAAACCCGGAGACCCGCAAATCCTGCGAGTGCTGCTGGTCCAGCAGCTGTTGCTGTCGTCGCTGCTGCTGCTGCTGCTGCTGCTGCTGCTGGAAGGCGCTACTGCTTCGGAGTCTTTACTTAGGAATTGAGCCAAGGGAGGAGGCATGGGGTCAGGCAGAGAGAAGTGCAGCAAGTCAAAATGCTGCTGCTGCTGTTCGTTCTCTTGTTGCTGCTGTTGTTGTTGCTGCTGCTGCGGCTGTAGTGCTGCAGCTGCTTCTTCTTTGTTGTGCTGCGCGATGGCGCAGATGAACTTTAAAAAGGCAAACTGATCCGTTGTTGCTGATGCAGCAGCTGTTGCCTCTGCTGCTGCTGCTGGAGCTGCTGCTGGTCCTGCTGTTGCTGCTGCTGCTGCAGAGAAATATGTGCGTTGGGCCTGCTGCAGCTGCTGCACTCCCCGCAGAGCGGCTTCGAGCTGCTGCCGCAGGAACTGCAGCATAAGGCTGGAGGTTCCCACCTCCTGCAGCGAGCCAGGGACCCTAAACCCTAAACCCTAAACCCTAAACCCTAAACCCTGAACCCTTGGACCTAAACCCTAGAGCCTAAGGTTCAGCACGAAGTGCAGCGCAGCAGACAGACACGTTAACGCTTCGTGTTTAGCAGCGAGACGCTTAGGGTTTAGACTCGCTGTTACACAAACCCTAAACCCTAAACCCTAAACCCTAAACCCTAAAACCTAAACCCTAAACTCTCAACCTACCTGAAAAGTTCTGCTGGGCTTGTTTGTCCCGTTGTATTCCTCTTTGAGAACTGCTTCTGCAACGCTTAAGAGATACAGGGGAAGATTGCCCTTAGCAGCAGCAGCAAACTTTTGCTGGAGCTGCTGCAGCAGGAAGGCGCAGCAGCTGCTGCTGCGCTGCCCCTTGGCTTCAGAGGGGTTCACCAGCGCAAGCGCAAACAGCTCCAGCACATCCACCGTCATCTCCCTGAACCACAAACCCTAAACCCTAAACTCTAAAACCTAAACCCTAAACCCTAAACCCTAAACCCTAGGCCTGGCTGCAGCAGCTGCTGCACTTACTTCATAGTGTAATTCAGAAGACGGATAAAAGGGGCACAATGCAAACGAGTCAACAATGAGCAGCAAAACAAAGAAACCCATTCCCCTGCTTCCTCTCGGGGGGCCCCCTGGGGGCCCCCCTGGGGGTCCCCCTGGGGGCCCCCATTGGGGGCCCCTGAGTCGGGGGCCCCCAAGGTGTGGGGCTCTGCTGCAGCCTGCATTGCGATGAAGAAGAGAGCTGCTTGCAGCTGCAGCAACAACAGCAGCAAGGATGGCAGCAGGAATAAGGGTCTAGGCCCTTAGGGTTTGGGTCCTAGGGTTTAGGGTTTAGGGTTTAGGTTTACAGTGCGTAGGGGTTTAAACCGCGCTGCTTGTTTTCCAGTCTCGTCAGCCACCGTAACCCTGTGTTGCTGCTGCTGCTGCAGCACTCGCACCTCCTACTCCAGCAGCAGCAGCAGCAGCAGCAGCAACAACAGCAGCAGCAGCAGCAGCAGCAGCAGCAGCAGGCCAGACCTCAAGAAGCTGCTCTTCAAGGAGGCCCTTGGCAGTCTCGTCGCTACAGCCGAAGAGAAGATGAAGAAGCGCAAAAGAAGATTCAACAGATGCTGCAGCAGCGAACACAACAACCCCACCAAACGCTGCACACACAGCTGCTGCATGCAGCAGCAGCAGCAGCAGCAGCAACACGGGAAGCAGCAGCAGCAGCAATCCCCAGCGCAGCGCAGTACCAGAGCACAAGGTCAGCTCCAGAAGCCGCAGCCTCCCCACAGATTGCCAAATTTGCTGCAGCTGTAGAAGCTGCTGCTGCTGCTGCTGCTTCTGCTGCTCACTGGCAGCAGCAGCAGCAGGGGATCGTGCTGCAGCAGCAGCGTTGCCTAGCAGCTCCAGCAGAGCCTTCGGCAGCAGCAGCGCTTCTGCACAGACGAAGGGAAGAGAAAACCACGCGGAAGACCCTTCTGCTGCTGCTGCTGTTGCTGCTGTTGCTCTTGCTGCTGTTGCTGCTGTTGTTGCAGCTGGAGCAGCAGCAGCAGCAGATGATGATTTCGAGAGAAGGCCCCAGGCAATGCTGCACACCTCCACCACCTGCAGACGCAAATTCCAAACCCTAAACCCCAAACCCTAAACCCTAAACCCTAAACCCTAA